CCACAGGGTGGACTGGTGGGCGGAGTCATACAACCACAGGGGCAGTGATTCGAGTTTTTGTTATTGTTATTGTTTTATTGTTGAATCTTCACTGACAAAATATTTCTAAAACCTCACTTTTATTCAGAACACAGAGGACGGGAGCTCTGCAGCTCTGATTCAAGATATTTGATAATTGGAAGTGTACTGGTTTTAAAAAAAACAAGATATGATACGCTACGATACGATTTTCGTATTCGTTCCACAGCGGGGGAATTTGCAGCATTACAGCAGCAGAGTTCAGACAGGAAGCATCAGTAGAAAAGACACTAAGCAATCGAGCAAATTTTACGCCATTTTCTGACTTTTTGTGGACGACAAGAAGAGTGGATTCATCATAACCATCAGATTCATTGATCATGTCAATAAGTGTTCTTTCTAATGTAAGACGAGAAGCAGCTCGTTGTTCTACAGCCTCTGTAACCTCAAACTGAAATCTCGAGTCTCTTCTGTCGTCTAAAGGAACAGAGTTTACTGTGAAGTTTGTCTTCAGCTGACCTGTGTCCCTGTGTTGTGAGTCATGTGACCTCTCTGCCGTCCTCGCTGCCCTTTAACACATTGAGACATTTACCCAGCAGCACACATTCCTCCCTTCAGGGAAAAGATAATATTACATTTTTTCTCAACAGCTGTTTTCGCTCACAGATGATGCTGAGCGGGCAGTTTTTTACTTAATGAGAGACAGATGCATCGTGGGTAACTGTGACCTCACTCACAGCAGAGTGTGACATGGGAACGGAGAGTGTTTGATAATCGACCTTTAAAGGAGCAGCTCGCTGTGACTCTGCTGGTGCCCACATCAGTCTGTCTGTCCGTCCTCGCCCGCAGGCCAACACATGCAACCTGCTCTTATCATCACTGTCTGTCTGTCTGTCTGTCTGTCTGTCTCACCTCATGGTGCAAAATATTGTTGACAAAATGGAGGAATCTGTCTTGAATGTGAGTTTCAGCACATGATGAATATGTTTGTTTCTTCAGCCGCTGCGTCCTGCTGATCACTTAAATCAGATAATCAATCGTTGTGGATCAGCTCCGCCCGGCTGGTCTGAGACGAGACGCCTCAGAGAGGTGGCTGATGGGACTTTGGAGCCATTAAAGTTCTTTTTATCAGAGCAGCTCGGCTCTCATCAATCATCTACTCTGATGACGGATCTCAGATCAGTCTTCATATATTTACTCTGTTGGGGCGTCGCTGTATTGACGTCTTTTAAAGCTGTTAAGTGACGGACTTTGTGTTCTGTGTCACATCGTGTTTATTGTGGGTCTTTGTCTGTATTGTGCTCATATTTTGAAATTTGGTGAACAGTGGGACCTGAGTTTGTTTGCAAAATATTTTTGTGTGATAATGGATGTGAGACATTTTCTATTTTTGCTTTCTGCTTCTTGACGCACAAGATTTTGTATTTTTTAAGGTAACATTTCAGCATCATGGGAAACATGCTGTAGGCAGAGAGGCTGCACAGAAGTACTTGGTGGATTGATACACAGTTGTTTGCCAAGAAGTAGTTCCAGCATTTCTCATTTTAAAACTGCAAAACTGTTTTTTAAATGTCACAATGAAACAAACGAGACGTTAAGCACGTTGGTGTATTTATGAATTTTGGACAGGCTAGCTGTTTCCCTCTGTTTCCAGTCTTTATGCTAAGCTAGGCTAACCATGTCTTGACTCCAGCTCTACACTGAACACGCAGATATGATAGTGATATTTATCTGAGTTTATGATGTCATATTTCCCAAGATGCACCTTGCAGAAATCGGAGGAATTAGACTTTATGTAAAACCTGTAGATGTGATAAATTACAACCCCCGTGTATGTTACTACATAGCTGATGTGTTGAAGCTTTACATGTTCGGTGCCTAAAAAGCAGCCGGAAAAACTGTGATGATTTGCTTAGAAACATCCATTGTTGGTGCCCAACAAGCTGATGGTAAAACAGTGATGAGTCTCCAAGAAACACTCCTATTTGGTGCTTAAACACTTGTCGGAAAAACAGTGTAGAGATGCTAAAAACAGCCAGTTTTGTTGTGTGTTGGTTGTGGCGTCTAGCCTCAGTGTCACCCCCCACCCACCTCTAGGTAACAAAGTCAGCTCACAAACTACAATGTCACACTACCAACATTTTCCACTGGCAACTCGGCTGCAAATTAAAAATCTAAAGCTCAGTTCTGTTAAGAGACAACGTGGCTGTTTACCAGGCAGGAAGGCTCTGATGAAAGACACTGTTGAGTTGGACACTGTGTGGACTGTGAGGACTTCCCATGTGTTTGTGTCTGTGTGGAAGTGACTCTGCAGGACTCTTTAGTCGGTGTGTCACTCACTGGAAATGATTTCCTTTAATCAATGGGAGGAGAAGAGTCCAGAACCAGAGGGACAATGGTTCCAGTGACTCAGCGGACTGGTGAGTCTGCAGCCACAGTGACGCTCTGTTATAAAAAGTCCGACTGACGTCCAGAAACATGTTGAGAAACAAGAGGAAACATGTTTTTACATCAAACTGTCCACTTATCATTCCTCTGAGCTACCAGCAGATTCCCAGTAAAACATCTCCTCTCAGA